GGCGTTCAACCTTAATCCTCGTCTCCCTTCCCCTACCGTATAACCCACTTCCACATAACTCGTTTTTTTTTTTTTTTTATGATTTGCCTAAATATCTGACCTGGGATGGAATGGTGCCTCCTTCCAAACCGTGTTACTCATTAATGTGAAGCGCACCTATTTTGGACATCTGTTAACAGCGTGTGAGGCGCTGGTTTACCTGCTGCCCATAAAGGCAGCTGCCATTTTAACCCCCCCCATTGTCCTGTCCTCCACAATGCCTCCAGGCTCCTCTTCCACACATTTTGTCTCCATTTTTTATTTTACGTATAGGCTTTCTTTAGCTTCTCTGTTGCTTTTTCTTCCTTTCTCTTTTTGGTTTCAGCATCCCAGAGTCCCTTTTGTGTTCTCGGTCTTCATCCCATCCTACGCATAACCCCTGTATCTCCCATTCTTTCACCAGCTTTCCAAATGCCTGTGCCTGCTCACAAATCCTAGACATGAGAAGTAAGGGGGAAGAGCAGTCACCATCTTCCCTGACAGGTTTCAGTCACGTTGGTGCTGGGGACAGCCCTTTTTCCAGGGGTACCCTTGCTGTCACTGCCAATGGCAGACAGAACATTGTGACTGAGGGCAATCTGAGGCTTCAGTTCTGTTTTAAATAATGGGAATCAGGAGTTTTGATTGTGGTTCAAACATGGAAGTTTGATTACAGAAAATTTTAATTTGTGCCCAGTATGACAGAGCTAAAGTTGAAAGCTGGCCCTTTTGGTATTGAGGGTAATTTCAAAAAGAGAGAGTGTCTGTTGTACCTTACCTTATCTCTATCTAGGAGGGAGACGAGACTAAAGCTGCTGATTTTATTTCCTTCTCTGCCTTCACGCTCTTTCTATGGCCTGTGCAGTAGCTTTCTTTTAGCCTTTCCTATAGTCACCGATTCCATCTACCAGGATAATTCCCAGTCATTGTAGAGGAAAATCTGGTATGCTTTTTGTAGGTTGTCCCTGTTGAAATTGTTACAGTCTGTCCTTTCAGATTGTACTTTTTCTTATGATCCTTTCCAATGAATCATAGCAGATCCAGTTATAGAGATGATACTTCCATGCTTGCTAAAAATAAAAACTAACCCTAAATTTTGGAACAAGATATTTGCTCTTTAAGAGCCAGGTCAGTGATAATTTTGTGGATGGGGTCCTTAAATTAACATATTAGGTGAACAATTTTTCTATTAGTCTTATCTCTTCCGCAAATTCTAACTTGACATTTTAAAATGATCCCTTAGCCAAATAGAAAAGTACTTCTGGTAAGTCAGCATATGGTAAAGAATATCCTAGAATCACTTCACAAATATGCCAAGCTTGTGTTCTGCAACTGTTAGGCAGGTTTTTTCTCCTTCTGATTTTTTTATGGGAAGAAAATCTGTTAATATATGAAGGTACTGAAAGATAAAGTAAAAATCCAGTGGATTTAATCAGCTCATCATCTTTTCTTTACCTTAAGGATATCTATGTGTTAAATAAATTAATGGCAATAAAATTACTCAGTATTTCTGGGCAGAGGAATTTTATCAGTAGATACTAGCTATTTATTTTTGTAGCAATGCAGGTCATACTGAAAGATTATCTTTCAGCCTCCTGTGGATGCTTAAAACTTGTTTTCTTACAGTCAGTGGAAAAAATATGGAGGTTTACCTTGTGAATTGTGTTGTTGCGTGTAAGTTAATGAGCTGTTGTTGCTTCTAAATAATTGTCATGCTATGGGCTTGGTAGCCATGTGAATGAGTTTTGTATTTTTGTGTGCCGTCCCTTGGGTCACTCGTGAGAATAATATGATATTTCTCAGGGATGAAAACTGTAAATACAGAAAATTTATTTGAATTATTTTAGGAAGGAAGGGATCACATCTCTGACAGCTAGAATATGCCAGCCATTTTGAGAAAGACAAACACACACACACACACACACGGCAGAAGTGGTTCAGTTTTATAAGGATTGCAGTCTCTGTCATACTGGACACGTGCTTGACATGTGAATAGTAATCAGCAGTGCTGCACTAGCTGTGGGGCTTATTATTCATTTCTCAATTTAATTAGGTTGTTATTTGATTTGTAAGTATCGAGTGTGTATGTTGGACTTCCCAGGTAATTGTGAGCTGTAGGCATGAATAATAGGATGTCTTTAAAGAAAGAAACAGGTGAGGATGTCTGTCATACTGATTCTGTTTATTTGAGGTGTGAAATACTGAGAATCAAAATTGGTTAAGAAAACCTACTTTGATTTACATTCCAACAAGATTTGGGCCGTAATTTAAAATCTTTGGTTCAGGGAGGGGGCAGGAGGGTTGAAACACACAAAATGTGAGAAGACGTGTTTTCTCTATAGTTACATTAGTAGAAATCTCTCCTATATTTCAAGATGTATTGTTAAATTACCTCATATCAGACAGCAATTAAACTGTGCATCATTATACGTAGTGGTAGAAGACAGGCCAAACATTGGGGAAAATAAAATATTTCTTCACATAGCGGGCTATGTGAGAAATAGCTGTGCAGTACTATCAGGAAAAGACTCAAACCTTTCAGAGTTGTCATCTGGTAGCTTTCACGTATTTAACAGACAAAGAATGCATACAATAAGAAACATACATCATTTCAATATAGGGCCTAGTAATTCTCCTGCATGCAAGTTTGCAAATTCTTTTCCATTCATAAAGAGGGGAGTGCGTAGCACAAAAATGAGGTAACACTTTAAATTTTCTGAAAACACAGGGCGAGCATGAAATTCTCACGGTGGCTTTCTGAACTACCGTAAAGAAACTCTCTCTGCTTTATTGTAATTGAGGTGAAAAAAGCATGAAGAATTTTTCCAAGATGGCGTGAATCCCACCAATTATGTTAGGATTAGAACCAGTAATTTTGTCAGACTTCAAGTGGCAGAATAAAATCTGGTGGCTTGAATTGCTTGTTACCACCCCTGGATGCCTGCCCCTCTGCTGACACATTGCTGCCCCTGAGGCAGAGACTGATTCCAAAACCATTGCAGTTTTCAGCCAGTATATTACAGTCAGTTGAAATTAATATCTGTTAACATTAATAAACTTGGTTAAACATTGTGTGGATTCAGGAATACACTGATAACCAGATCAGGTGTCCCTGCCTTGAAAGTGGCAACAGCCATCAGAGAGAAAACTGGGTAAGGTGAGGGTGGTAACAGTTTCAGCTGTTATGTTTTAATCTGCTGCTGAGTCTGCCAGAGCCCCTGTTTCTCAATCCTTTGTCTAAAACATTAGACCAGCTACTGAAAGGTTGTGCTATTAAACCAGTGCCCCAGTTCAATGCATTTCTTGCAGGCAAGTCCCTCTGAAAAGTGATCATCATCTAAGAGAAACCACCCACATTTTCTGGAGTAATTAATTAAGAAAGTTAAAAGCCATCAGGTGTTCTCTCCAGTTAAGCAGATTTCAGCTGGAACTTGCTGGTGAAAAGGAATGTATGTTTCAAATGAGATGAATGTATTAAGCACAAAAGAATCTGGATGGGATAAACAGAAGGCAAATATGTTAAATTCTGAATGCATTTTAAAAGTGGCTTAAGACTCAGACTGAGAGAATGAAAACCAAAGTATGTTGTTATTTTCTTTATTTTTAACCTGAATTATTCTCTGTAATTTAAGATGAGTGGACAAAAGACTCTTACAAATTGAAAGCATCAAAAAAGAGAGAGAGCTATCCCATTCCCTTGGGCTAAACAGACTTCCGTGCTGATTGCAATACAGACAGATTTGGTTCTTCAGTTAGTTCTAGATGGGGATGTATTCTTACCTCAGATGAAGGACATTATACTTCAACTGTGATAGTGTGCCTGCTTCTACTTCAATGCTCAATATGTGCAGTATATTCCTGTGCATCGGTAGGTTATTTCACAGAGACTGGTAAACACTATTTTTTTTCCTATGTTAATTATGTTCAAGATCCTGAAGTGCTGAAATGAGTTTTGATCTGAGTGAGTATAGGGCCGAGCCCTTTCTTGTGTAGATGTATGGGTGGAAGACGTAAGTGATGTGAATTTTCGTAACTGCCCTACAATTGCAGTGCTCATTTTAAGTGACTGATGTGTGGTCTTTCTATGTGAAATCAAAAGAACTTGTGTGTGCTCTCCTTGCTTACTCATATGTTTCTGGTGGCTTCATTCACTTAACCTTAATAATGTGAGCAGGATTTGATTCTGTATTGATTCTATGTGTAATATAGAATGTAAATATGTGATCTAGGTCTGAACTAACACAACTGTGTTTTTCAAAGGAGCAATGTATTGTTCATACCCTCTTTGCTTATTGCTTATCAGGTTTACTAGAAAGCAGTACAAGGCTAAAACCTCATGAAGCTCAAAGCTACAGAAAGAAGGCATTGTGGGTTTCCTGGGTCTCCATTATTGTCACACTGGCTCTTGCAGTGGCTGCTTTCAGTGAGTATTGGGAATATTTTAAATCTTCACACCTCTTCCCTTTTTTTTTTTTTTCCTTTTGGTCTCTCAGAATTTCTCTCTTTGTGGAAGCTTTCTCATGTTTTTTTTCTTCACAACTGCTAAAGAGGTTTCTCTATAGACTGCCTGTGCCTGCATGGTGCTTATAAATTAGTAAAACTGTTGGTTTTTTTCTGCAGAGGATAGGGTTGTTGAAGGTCGGAGAAAGAAACAGGAGATGTTGATTCCTGCTAGCATTTATGCATGTGGAACTGTTCATTTTACAAAATAGTGTAAAAATCATTATGCAGTGGATTGCATTTAACCAAAGAGGTCAAATATGACAAGTCTTAATCCACCTGGGATTTGTAGTGGGAATGCTGTAATAAAGAATAGTGAATCGTAAGGAAGAAATATATATCTGTATTACACTGACAGATACCCTAACACAATGCTAATCTGGAGGAGAAATACCAGTCTCTTTTTAAGTCAGTGTTTTTCTTTAAGTTTCAAGACATTTGTCTAGTTTACACAAAGAATTTGAAAAAAAACCAACAAACCCAACCCCCACTTTTATATGGAAAAAATGAAATATTTTTTTTATTTAAAAACAGGAAAAAATACTACATAGTGTAAATAAAGATATATTTTAGTTTAGTGCAAATTTGTAAAATAGCAGCTTTCTATCTTGGTCAATTAAGTAACACTGTGTTACTGTAAGGACAAAAAGAAATGTGGAATCTGGAAGAAAATCTTTGCAGTGGCACATTCTCTGTTTAAAAGAAGGAAAAACCAGAACTGACTGGATTTACGTGTTTATGTAAACAAAAGGAAAGCTCTGTCTAGGAGACAAGACATCTAAGATGTCTCAAAACATCATTCTTCAGCTTGATAAAAACAGACTTGCCTTATTTTTCTTTTTTTTTTGAAGCCACAGCAGCATGTGTTTTGTTATTCTAATCTGCAGTGTACGACCTGCTGCTGGAAGTTGGTGTCAGCTCCCAGGAGAGATTATTAGAATCTGGCCAAATGGTCTCTGAAAACTCAACATATATTACTCGGAGCAATTTATATAGAAACACAGGTACACTAACTTGATTCAGAAAGGAGAGAAAGGGAAGGAACACTTAAAAGCAGAATCTAACACTGTAAAGAATTTGAATGTTAACAAGAAAGCTGGACATCTGAGTTTCCATTTTGTTCTGCTTCATAAAAATGCAATAGTCTGTCTTCGCTACTAAAGCAATATGGAAGTAAATACTGTGTTATAAAATAACCTTGTTACCTATTAACAATATAATTTTAGGGGATATTGAGAAAGGGCTTAATTTTATTTTACATTTTAATTTGTCAGAGTTACAAGACATAAGTGTAATATGGATAACTAAAACACTCAATTTCTTTTAAAAGGGTCTTTTTAAACATTTTGTAGTACTAGTTAGGTTATCTGAAAGCTTTTATTTTCTATTTTCCTTGTGGCACTCTGGTCGTGTTTAGAAACCCTACCAATAAAAAACAGCAGAGAAGGTAGTCCCTGCCAGGATATACTGTGACTGCATACTCAGTTGCAGTGGATAGAAATGGAACTACTGAAATCAGCTGTTAGTAGTAGACTAATTGCATGTTTTTAGAATGTATCTTTCCTTGTGGTTTGAAGAGGCTAAATTTATGAAGAATAAAAGAGGAATCAGCACACAGGTACATCTTAAATCTATATAATCTCTTAGTAGACAGCTGACAGTTAACTTATGTGCCACAAAAGCATTGCTGGGGCTTTTGATATGCTCAGTATCAAAACTTCTAATCTTTGAGGAAAATACAGTGATTCTTCTAGAATTTCTTGCCCCCCCCCCCTCCATTTCAGAAGTTCTGCTCAGTTTATCATCTCACATGGGCTGCTCTCTTCCTGTGTGCTGTCCTTTTAGCAGGTTCCTCTAGCCAATCCATGAGTTGGGAGACATGCCAGGTGACCAGAGTTTGCTGCCTGTTTGATGTAAATGACTAGTTGTCACTTCGGGGTGTCTGACACTGCCAATTCTTTGCAAACACCTGCTATTTAAAGCATCCTGTTTCTGTTTTACTTCTTGTCTGTAATGGTAAATTGTTAGCAATACAGCCCTGATGTTCCATTTCAGTGAAAAATGGGGACCTGCTGTGCTAATTGTCAGGCTACGCTGACTGTGTTCTCGCTACTCTTTCTGATCCCCCTATATATTCTTTCTGTAAGTTTCTGTTTTATCTTCTTATAGGCTTCAAAATACTTTCTTGCAAGTGTGTCTTACAGTGCTGCTTTTGCAGCAGCACATGATATAATAAAGATAACAGGCCAGGATGTTACTTGATAACTGTAGTTGAAGAAATGGAGGATATGGAGAGTAAGAAAAATACTGAGGGGGGTGATACCAGTGTGCATGGTCTGTGGGGAGAGCGGGGAAGTAATTCAGGAGCCTCCTTTTCCAATCAGGTGTTTGTAACTAGACTTCCTTTCCTTTTTTTATGGTCTGCCCCCTCCCCTGAGTGCTGCAGCTTGGTCACAATCCTTCCTTACAAGACCGGTCTGGTTGCTTCCAAAGCTATATTTTTCTGGCATTAGCGTAAGTTGGAATGGTATGATATGTTTTCTTTTGGTGGGCTTATGATAATGACCCAGCTGAACCCTGATCTTCTTTCACTTGGTAATGTTGAAAGAGATTGATAAATCTTACATTGATCTGAATTCATAAAGTAGTTTCTTTATTAGGTAATGATCTGTGCATATGAGGTGTGAGATCCATTGATCTGAACTTCGTGTGTTAGACTTATTATTAAAGGGACCTGTCTATGGTGTATTATAAAGGTGTATAAATTCAAATTATGATATACCTATATACAGGTGTATTTGCTACATAACAGGTGTATGGTATGCATTCTCTCTGGGATGGGCTGTTTTGTGGCCTGAAATACCGTAATGCAGAAGATGAAGTGCTGACTTACACATCAAAAAGTGTTTGGTCTCTTTAGGTTTGGAAATCTAAACTAGGCTAGGCTGGATATGGAGCAGAACGGCTGCTTAGGGGAAAATGAAATTGTCATCTTTTATTCACTAATATTGAGAAGTAGGACTTGGACCATAAAATCAGCTTTTCCCCTTAGCTGAAAGAACAGATCTCTTACTATGCAGTACTTAATACACTTAATTTTACTACAGAAATGCTGTACTTGTAAAAGACCATTTGGAAGCTTCAGCTGCTGTCTCTAAATGCAGCTCATGCACTGTGTGGTAATGATCATGGTCTCACTGGCATCGAGTTCTGTTGAAGGTGTTGCTCTGCAGCATGTAGTTGCACAAGGCTTCAGTAAAATCTTTATAGACTTAAATTTGTAAGATTCTTGAGGTCAGTGGAGGCCTGTGGTATCATCTTTAGTGGCTGAAAGTTAGGGTCTCTTAGAATCAGTGATGCATATTCTGACATTTGTGGTTTTGCGCAGTACTTTTATGGTCAGATACTGAGCAATGCCTGATGAGTAAGTTCATTTCACTTTTCATTTTGATGCTGCCTGAAATATGCATGCTTGTAGAATTCTCATCAAGAGTGGATTTACGTTTTCTTAAATATATAGTAATAAACTGAGACTGGGCATGGTAAGAATTACTAAAATGAACATTAATTTATTCCTTAGCACCCCAAGTAAGTACTGGAATAATAATTTTAATATAATTGTTTCTGGCTTACAATAATATAAGAAAAGAATGATAACATAATATGAGCATCTTTTTTTGCAACATACATATGTGTAGTATAAAGCTGCAGTCTAAATCATTTCATAATAACAACTGTAATTTCTATAGCTGCAGTATTGTAGGTTCATACTGAGTCTTGCTGCAAAATCATAATAGAGGATGAGGGACCATTACAGGTGGTATGGAACTTCGGATTTTCTTGACATTTACGTTAGTAAAACATAATTTTTAAATACACAAATACAGCTTTTCTGTTGTAGTTTAATTTCTGCTCAAGAAGCTAATCTCTGATAATAATGTCAAAGTAGAAAACAGACTCATTCTATCTGGTATTTCTTGTCCGGTGTAGACTTGTGATTCACAGAAAGTAGCCTGTTCATTCATCTTCCTGATCTGATTAGCTAAAATTGTTTCACAGTGAATAGAGTAGTCATATCAATGTATCAAAACAATGTATAGACCAAATTCTGCACTAAAAGCTCTCTTTGTAGTCAGAGATTGGGTAAAGATTTAGAATGTATGCCTTTGTAAATGTAAGCTTTGTAAAGGGCTTTCATGAGGCAGCCGTCGAGATGGAACTTGCAGACAGCCTGTCCCAGTGTGGTCAGAGCACGCCTGAATAGGCCCTGCATGCTAAAGCGTCACGGGAAGACTTGACCCTGGGCTATTTGCAAAATGCTGGGAAATAGCAGGCAGATTGTGAAATCTGTCATCATGGTTGCTTTAGAGATCACTCCTTCTAGATCACCGCAGACATATTTATGGTTTAGCCTTGTAGAAATAACTGAAAACTTGATTGCAACTAATAGGTCTATGATTTGAGGTCCTATCCTGGTAAGTGTTTAGTCTCTTGTAAATATGCACTGTTATTTTGAGAGGGTGAATTCTATTATTCTGTATAGCATTTCAGATGGAAACTTGTTAGATACAATTCTGTAAGTGGGAATATTTTATAGGATCAGCTATTGGCCCATGCCTAAGATATTACAAGTAAATGCAAAGAAACTGACATTCTGATTTTGGATACAAAATCATTTGTGTTTCAAAATGAATTACTGAAAAATAATTCATTAAAGCGAGCTTCCACATACTGGGATGAGAGAGGCATTTTGTTTGAAATGCATGGTCCATACACTTAGGAATTTCAGGATAGAGATTGCTTTCAGATTAAAGCTTCATGCCAGTTCAGACTCTAACAGACGGATTCAAATGCCAACAAACCTTAGAAAGTATGGATCCAGGTCCACTTTCTTCACTGGAATGACTAAATTGAGCCATAAAA